GCGGTTGTGTCGGGAAGGTGATCATCATAGAATGCCAATTTACTAGAAGAAAGTATTCTTGTGTTGAGGGAAGGCTCTTCTTGTTGATGGTAGTAAGGTCCACCCCCTGCTTCTGGAATTGGCTCTGTTTTGAGCTCTGTGAGATGTCAAAATTGACTAATTTCCTTGTTAGGATTTTAAACACTTTGTTTTATTAGCAGTCTGTTCAATCCCCTTGGCTGGCCATAGCAGATTATTTGCATAATCCCACCCTGTCATTTTCTGAGAGTCACAAAGACTGTGATTAGAAGGGCCATATTTTAAAATTTGTTTATTTATTTATGAAAACATTCTACTGGAGCTCTTACTGATGTTATTACAATTCATGTTCTATTAGATCAGGAGTAGTTGTACAATTGTTGCCATCATCTTTTACATGGGGGACAAAGGGGAGCTGATATCAAGGAGTTCAAGAAAAAAAGAAAATGGATTGTCAAAGGTCCATATTAAAGTAATTTACTCCTCCGTGGAGAAACAGTAATACCTTCATATAAAAAACAAACACCTCCCCTATCCCCCTGAAAAATCAGTTGCCATTCCATTTGAATGGCTAGGCCTCTCTTCTGAGGCACCACTGGGTGGAAAAATCTCTTCCAATTGGTATTAAAAATTGCAAATATATCACCCAAACGCAATGATATCTTGGGTAAAAGTAACAAGCATTATTGGGGTAGTAGTGCTAACATGTACTATGGAAACCTTGTAGTTTTTTGTGTGGATTGAACTTGGCTCTCATAAAAATCCCGTGAAACAGTTATGAGTCAGAATCAACTCAATGGCTTTAAGTTTTTGCTTTTTTTTTTTTTAATGTTACAGGTTGGCAATGGAAAAAACAATGGCTTAGACCAACTGTACCTTAGTTATTATTGCTATTATTTTTTTCATGTCTCTATCTCCTTTTATTTCTCTCATTCATTAACAAAATACTTTTATTGGGGGCTCTTACATCTCTTATCACAATCCATACATTCCTCCAGTGTGTCAAGCACATTTGCATATAAGCCGCCATCATCATTTTCAAAGCATTCTCTTCCCACTTGAGCCCCTGATATCCGCTCCCCATTTCTTCCCCCTCCCTCCCCCGTCACCCTCCCTCACCAATCCTTGATAAGTTAAAGATCATTTTTTCCATATCTTACATCGCCCCTTAGTTATTATTTCAGTTATCCAGGGCTTTCATGAATACCCAGAGTGGAGGGATTTAACAGACAAAAATGCATTCGCTCACACTTGCTGCTGTTGTTAGGGCCATTGAGTCAGCTCCAACCACATGACCCTATCCATGTACAACACAACAAACTACTGCCGTTTCTGCTCGGTTGACTCATTGGGGGTAGCCTTTGTATCAACCCATCTTGTCCAGGGCTTTCTTCTCTCTCTCTCTCTTTTTGCGGTTCCTCTGCTTTACCAAGCAGGATGGCCTTTCCCAGGGACAATTCTCTCCTGACAACATGCCCAAAGTGAGGCAACCATCTCGCATCCTTGCTTCTAAGGAGCAACCTGACTGTACTTCTTCCAAAATAGATTTGCTGCTTCTTTGGGCAATCCATGGTACTTTTCATATTCTTTGCTAGCATCCGAATTCAAATGCATTGATTCTTCTTCGGGTTTCCTTAGCCAGTGTCCAACTTTCACGTGCATGGGAATACGGTGGCTTAGTTCAGGCACAGCTTAGTCCTCAAAGTAACCTCCCTGCTTTTCGATGCTCTAAGGAGGCTTTGTGCAGCAGATTTACAATGCAATGTGTCATTTTATCTCTGACTTCGGCTTCCGTGGGCCTTGACCGTGGACCCAAGCAAGATGGTACTACAATGGTACCTGACGGCAGCACCAGTGAAATAGTCAACATTTAGACGTGGAATGAACTTTTATGCAGATTATTTTTCTAGGGAAATGGAGTAGGTTCTATTTCTTGAGTTTTCAGGGCACAGTTCATAATTTAACACAATTAGAATCTCCCAATTTTTGTTACAGATAATAAATCAATAAGCTGTAATGATACTGAAATTATATTTAATAAAAACATGTTCAATTGAAATTTGTGATTACTCTGACTAGTATTTTTACTTACATTTTGTTCAGGTATTCCCACTTTTATTTTTAGAATTATTTTTATTGCAGAGCAGTTGTGACAATGTATTGATATTCTGTTACATGCATATAGAAAAGTCCCATTACGATTTGTGGGCATATTATGTATAAATATATGTCATTTGATTTCTTGACTGCTGCTTGCAGAGGAATTGATTGTGGATCGAAATAAAATGAGTGTGTTTCTGGTATTAGTTAACCAACACGAAGAGATCCCAAGTGATGACAGGAAACAGGGAACTTGTGAACTACAGGATCAAGCCTTTCAAGTTCGACCTCTCATCTGTGCTCCTTTCCTCCACCCTCCTTCCCAACCCACAGATCAGTTGACACAACAAAGTTCATTCAATTGAGTTTGGGTTGGGTGAGGCAGGCACTAGGTAACAGATGGTATGATTTTTTTTTTTGGATGACCTGAGTTCTTTTTTAAAATTATTTTTATTTTTTTAATTAAATAGTCATTTTATTAGGGGCTCATACAACTCATCACAATCTGTACATACGTCATGTGTGTCCAGCACATTAGTACATATGTTGACTTCATCATTCTTACAACACCTGCTTTCCACTTGAGCCTTGGTGTCAGATCATTTTCCCTCTCCCTCCCCGCTCCCCCCTCCCTCTGATAACTTATAATTTATTATTATTTATCATATCTTACCCCATCCAATGTCTCCCTCACCCACTTCTCCACTGTCCATCCCCCAGGGAGGAGGCCACATGTAGACCTTGTCCTCTGTTCCCCCTTTCTCCCTCTCCTTCCCTCCACCCTCCCGCCATCGCCACTCTCTCCACTGGTCCTGGGGAGTTCATCTGTCCTGGGTTCACTGTATTTCCAGTTCCTATCTGTGCCAGTGCACCTCCTCAGGTCCAGCCGGATATGTAAGGTAGAATTGGGATCATGGTAGTGGGGGGGGGGGGAAGCATTTAAGAACTAGAGGAAAATTGCATATTTCATTGTTACTACACTGCACTCTGATTTGCTCCTCACCTTCCCTCAGCCCTTCTGCAAGGGGATGTCCAATTTCCCCCGGATGGGCCCTGGGTCCCCATTCTGCACTCCCCCTCATTCACAATATTATGATTTTTTTTTTTTTTTTTTGGTCTTTGATGCCTGATACATGACCCCTTCACCACCTTGTCATCTTACAGGCTGGTGTGCTTCTTCCATGTGGGCTTTGTTGTTTCTCAGTTAGATGGCCCCTTGTTTATCTTCCAGCATGTGGGACCCAAGATTCTGTGTAATTTGACAGCTTGGCACCATCAGCTTTCTTCACCGCATTTGCTTATGTACCCGCTTTGTCTTCAGCATTTGTGTCGGGGTAGGCTGGTGTGCTTCTTCCTTGTGGGTTTTGTTGTTTCTTAGCTAGATGGCTGCCTGTTTGTCTTCAAGCCTGTAAGACCCCAGATGCTGTATCATTTGATAGCCGGGCACCATCTGCTTTCTTCAACAGATGATATGTTTTACAATTTCTACGAAATGTTATCTAATGCTTGTGCAACGTTTGATGGTTTACAAAGTGGGTTATGCATTGGGCTGCCAACGGCAAGGTTGGAGGTTCAAATCTATCAGCCGCTCCATGAGAGAACGATGAGACTTTCTGCTCTGATAAAGATTTGTAGTTTTGGAAACCCACACGGGCAGCTCTACTCTGCCCTATAGGGTCATTATGAGTCTGAATCTGCTTGACGGCAGTGAATTTGACCCATAAACCATCCCATTTGATCCTAAAGTGATGAGGTGTCACCAGTCCTTTTTGTCTAACTTCACAAGGGGGAGGAGAGACTCACCACCATCAGTATCAGCTCAAGGCTGAGTGCTTTAGGTGGAGGGCAGATAGACCTTCATCCTCCAACTTCTATACCTATTTTGGCCTCAGGTCCCTTCCCTACACTCTCTACTTCTCTGCCGGGTCCAATAATTCACGGCAATGGCCACACCAGACTCACAGACTATACTTACAGCTAAGAGGCTTATTAGGGAAGTAACTGGTTACAATTTAGGGTAAACATGACTTAGGGTGTCACAGTTTGACCAGGGCAGCATTGTCCTGAGTCATGCTCATAGGCAAGCCTTTTCCGGCCTCTCTGCCCAACTTCTATGTGGGAAACTGAGGACTGAGAAGAGAGTCTATGCAGACAAATTCTTTTTTTTCAGGATGGAGGAAGTCTGGGAGGCCAGGATTCTGAGTGGAGGGAGGCCTTCACATCTGTGAGTTGGAGAAGAGTCCCAGTCACGTCCTCCTAAGAAAATAATGACCTCTTACAAGCCCCTGGCTGACCACTATAAGGCCAAAGCCTTTATTTATAGAAGCAGACACGTTTCTTTTGTTCCCCCTGCTCAAGGGGCAGTCAATTTCCCTCTCCCTGCCCCCAGGGCTCGTATTAGGCTTCTCCCCCAGTGAGATCAGGGACCTCTAGGGCTAAGATGCTGCCCACCTTGTTTCGTATGTCATGATGAGGTCTGTAAGTCCTGAAGATATAGAAAGAAGCCTGTAAAAGAATATATGAGCTCTCTCTCTCTGGTTCCTACTCCCATGGAAGAGGTGAGCCCTTGCATGCCTTGTCTGATGTCTGTTTACTTATTCCATTCCATTCCATAACCATCCCTTAAGACCCATCCAGTTCAGGGCTGGCTCCCTTGTCTTTGCCTTGCTCAGATGGTGGTTATGCATTTTAGTCTCACCAAGAGTACGGAGGTTCCACACTCTCTGGTAAGCCTCCTGCCGGGCCGCTCAGCTCTCTTGCTCTGTGTGCCAGCACACTCACTGTTGCCATCTCCCTCCATGGCCAGGGTTCCCATGTGTTGCTCTGTTCATCTGCTGGTTCTGCTGCCTCATTTCCTCTGCCACTGCTTCTTGCCAGCGCCAATGCTCCAGCTCTTTCTCTGTTTCCTGAGTGCCAAGGATGGGCTCCACTCTCAGCCCCTCTTCTCCATGGTCATGAGGTTCACTCTCAGCTTGTAAGCCCGGCAGGATGGTAAAACTGACAGTCTCATTAGGGGTCCAAACATCTATTTGCCTAGTCTCCCCCCCACCAGGATTCTATGCATCCCATTAGCATCAACAGGCTGTTCAATCCCTTTGGCAGGCCACAGAAACAGTAGTTTCATCGATTGCATTTCGACAGCAGGGAATAAGCCTGTTTTGGTATCCATCATAGAACAAGGTGGTGGCTCCCGCACCTTGCGTAGAAATGGGAAGTCTGGAGAAGGAGGCCTGAGAGTGAGAGGAAGCTGTGGCTGAGCATCCGTTTATGTCCCAGAGAGTAGACCAAACGGCAGAGTTGGCTGGGAGGCCGCCATGTGTGTGGTTCAGTGGTCAGTCTGGATCTCAGCAACAAACCGTGCTAAAAGGAGCCACGCTGGGTTGAAGTGTGTGTGGTTTCAAACACTCTTGTTTGTTGGTGTACAGGTCTTATGGGGGTTGTGGGCTTCCAACATGCTGGAAAGCTCCCAACAATGGAGGAGTGAAAACCAGAGAAATTTCAGCACCTTTAGTGACAACTAAGTATAACCCTCAGGGCTGGTACTACTAGAGAGGTATCAGTTAAATTAAGAAAAAGCTAATGACATAAAGGTGATCGTTGTACTGTGGTTATAAAATAAGGGCACTGTAGGGTTAAAATATGTACAATGAAATATTTAGCATTGAAGGGCCACAAAGTATATTATTTACCCACAAAATGGCTAAAGAATTGGATGTGTAACCATTTACATATCTGGAGTAAGTGATGAGGTAGCTGGGTTAGTAAATGAATAGGTGAACCCAGGTAAAGACTATATGAGGGAGCTAAAAAATCATGGAAAAATGGAATGGAAAGATAATGGAAAGTTTCCAGGAACTTTTTGAATATTTGTTTTTCACCATACAATTTTGACATAGATTTTCCCATGACATTGCTTGTAATCCCCACAATGTACCAAATATCCAGATATTTCCACCTTGGGTTCCCATTCACCAATTCCCCCCCCTGCCCTTTTCTGTCTCCTGTCTAAGTTTGCTGTTGGTCAAATGATGCTCTTTTGGTCTTATACAGTTGATACCTTAGGGGCATATCCCTCCAGGCTGTTATTGTCCAATTTATAGGCCTGTCTTTTATGTGGCTGAAAGATGATTTCTGGAGCATCCTGAATTCTAAGGTGGAGCGGGGTGTAAGAGACGTAGTTTTAGGATTCCACTAGTTTCTATCAGAGCAGTAGGTCTGTTTTTAATTATTTCTTAGTGAACTTGAAATGCCTTCCACCTTTTCTTCTCATTCTATCTGGTCCCCTTCACTGTGAGCCCAGCCAAGTTTGAGTGGACCACAGTGGTGGCTGGGTACCATCTTGTTCTTCTGGTCTCAGGTTGCTGGAGGTTGTGTACTATTCTTATGTTTTTGCAATGTTTGTCAGTTACAAATAATTTCAAAGAAAAGAGTCAATTAAGTAATACAATTATAGTTAGATACATGCAGCAATTGATGTTCAGAAAAAGGAGGAAGATAACAGCTTTTCCAGGAGTTGGGCTATCAAACAGAAAAGGCTTCACAGAGAAGTTTATAGAGAAATCCTTAATAGTGATGTCTTGACCGTTGGGCCTGGGGTCCTAGTGCATCTGATTGGAGGTAGGATACAGAGAAGCACTATGCGGTCTGACCTTTCCTGAGAGTCTCATTATGAGATGTAACACTGGGTAGGTGACTATCTACCCAGCTTATCCCTGAAACACCTGACAGAGCAGGATTTCTCTTCTCTCAGGGAGTGAGATCACTTGGTGTGAGGCCAAGACCACCGCTCCTGTTCCTCCATCCATTCACACCCCCTTGTTCATTCTGCGGCACCTTTCAAGGGAAGATGGCAGAGGGAGGTGCCTACAACCTTGGTTGGGCAGGGCTTGGCCAGGTGGGGCTGGACTGGCTGGACTGGGCTGGGCTTACCTAGTTTGATTCTCTCCATAAAAAGCGCAGCACTTTGCTCTACATCAGGACCCTCTGCAGAGGACACTGTGAGAGCCCCTGTCTGGCAGAGAACTCTCAGCCCGAAGGAGGGCGCTTCCAGTGCTGGTGGGAAGGGGTCTCTGAGTCTGAGGCAAGGTCTCTGTGTGGAGGGATTGAGAGTGTCCGGAAAAGAACTCATGGCCTATTGAGTATGCGCTAGGTGGTTAGGGGTGGAGAGTACTCTGGGAAGCGATAGAATGTCAACCCCATCACTTCCCTTTTGGGATTTCCTGATTCAGAAAGGATAGTTCAGCCGATGATCTTGTGCCTCTTGTTTCCACATAGAAGAGCATGCCCCAGCTCTGCTTCCTGCTGTTCCTGGCTTTGGCCACCAGAGGGTGCAGTGCAGGTAACTAACCCACGGGAGCAGCAATCTCCTTAGCTCACCCTTGCTGTTTATGGAGTGGAGGGAGGGAATGCGTTGGTCTTGGCTGGGCTGTTCTGCACGTCTGCGTGTGAGGAGGAGCCACGGAGGTACAAGACACCACACCTAGCAGCAGGTGTGAGATGCTGACTGGGTGCTGATTTCTGGCTTTTCTTGGGGTCAGTTTCACAAAGTCAGGGTGTTAGCTGAGACATGTCCTGGGGCCCCTGCTCTGGGGCTCAGAGATGGATGGTAAGCATTGGGTCCCCTTCCCAGACACTGGCCCCTGTGGTCTCAGCAGGAGGGAACTGTGTGGTCAGTGATGTGCTCAGGGACCGCCCTCCACTAGTCCTTGGCCTCCCCTTACTGTTCCTCAGGACAGGTACCATGTTGACAGTGTTCACTGTTATTAGGCTCCATTCTTTAAAAAGCGAATGAAAACGCACATATCCCATTTGATCTTCAGGGGCAAAAAGCGTTTACTAGTTACCCTTTACTGATTGCGGGGTGGGGTGGGGGAGGGGAGAGGTGTGCTTAAGTGGCTGCCCTCGGGAGAGCCCCGTCATTGTGCACCGTCTGGGATTTCAACCGGAATTCTCTAATTCAAAACGTGCCTTCTTTTCTCACTTGGCCAGCTCTTCGGGATAATATCTAGGCTTCTAGACTGAGAAAGATGGGGCTCTCTACTCCTGTGAAGAGTTACAAGTCTTGGAAACCCACAGGGGCACTTTGACCTGTAGGGTCGCCATGAGTTGGCATTGGCTCGACGGCAGAGTCTGGTGTTGGGTTCTGGTTTTAGACTAATAAACAAAGCCTCTCATCCTCTGACCTAAGCTAATTCCTCAGCTGTGTGTTTCACCCCTCCCGGCATGACCTCCTTTACTCTGCTGTAGAAAGTGAACGATCTGGAGCTGGACCATGCTTCGTGACACTTTACCTTCTCTCCTTCCCGCCACCCCCTCTTCCAAGAGCATTCTTTCCCGTTCTCTCTGCCAGCTCCTCTTTGTCCTGTCAGTCAACCTTCTCCGAATTTCACCTGTCCCCTTCTTCTGAAAGTTCCCTTCCTCTGCTCCCACCAGGGCCTCTCAAGACGCCTTCTCAGTTGGGTGCCATTTGTAAGTGCTCCCTCCCTCTAGAACACCGTCTCTTAAACAACCTGCCGCACCCTCTCTGCCCAGTGCTTACATGGCGTTTATAAGACGGGCTTTAATAAAGTTAGTTGAGTGGAAGAATTCAGGGGGAAGCTTGCACCAGCTCTTGGGTTGGACAGTCTTAGTAAAAGAATCCCTGACTCACACCATGAGCAGTGAGTGACTGCTGCAGTGGGCAGGGGCTGGGAACTGGGGGCAAGAAAGATGGTGTCAGTGGTTCAAGACCTTTAATGAGAAGGATCACGTTTTTTTCAGCCTCGATCCAGGAGAACGCTGCCTGCGGACACTCCCTTCATTCTTTGTTTAGAAGCTGCAAGGAAATCAAAGACAGTTGCCCCCGAGCAAATGGTGAGTAGTATATATTAGTGTGGTGTCTCTCTGAGGGCACTTTTTCGCTAAGTGGGACCCAGTAACTACCCATCAATACTGTCTATCTGACTCTGACTTCTATTCCAAGTGGTTTCAAAACCTGGGAGCAGTTTGAGGCCTTCATAGGCCACCGCAGTCACATCAGACCCGATTTTGGAGTTGGTGGCAAACTTGTGGAGGGTCTGAGACTCTCCTTGTAAACTCATAAGGTCGCCTGCTATACTTGTATAGATGCTGGCATGGCATCTGAGACCACAGGGTCCTCGATAAGCGTCATGGTTCCCAGCACCAGCAGGACCTGAGTATCAGCATTTGTGTGTGCTGCTTCTCCGAGTCCTCATTCCTACAGGGGAATGCAAAGAGAGCCAGGTGCATCTGCACAGGTAGTGGCTTTGTCAAGCCGGGTCACAAAGCTGACCAGTAAAGAAAGAACCATTCAAACAAAAGGTCCCAGTGCAAATGTAGCACAGGCGCTAGGGTGCTCTGTTGCTGGGGAGTCAGTCCATGCTGCTTGGAAGCCAGTGAGTTGCCTGCGGCTGCTGGGCAACACCTTGCAGTGGGGCAATACCTCGCTCCTCCTCAGGCCCTGGGAAGTGAGGAGGAGCTGTCTCACCACAGCACCTTCAGTAGTTTGGGCAGTGGGTGAGAAAGGACCTTGAAACAGTGCCCCACATGGCGCCCATGTTTCGCAGGATGACATGCGTCGTGTGAAGGTTAGGTCAGCTGTGGCTAGGCCTTGCTTCTGTAGAGACAGGACAAGGGAGGGCACCAGTGCCAGGGTGGAGCCCTGCTCCCACAGTGCTGTGTTGCAGGAGAGGACTGGCAGAGTCACAGGCAGTCTGACTCTGTTTACAAGGGAATAACCAGGTCTGCCCTTTGCTCTGAGATGCACAGAGTTTACCAGTTAAAGGCTGGACAGTGGAGAAGTGGCAGGTCCCTCTCTGATACTGAGGCCAGGAGCCCTGGTAGAATGGTAGGTTACAGGGTGGGCTGCTAACTACAAGATCAGCAGTTTGAAACCACCAGGTGTTCCATGGGAGAAAGATGAGATTTTCTACTCTCGTAAAGACTTGCAGTCTTGGAAACCCACAGAGGCAGCTCCACCATTTTCCTTAAGGTTGACTCAATGTCAATGAGTTTTTTCTTTCTTTTTTTTCTCCCCCAATTTTATCCAGTGTCTACCCAGAGGGAGACACTATATGTTCTACGTTTCTTTGTTATATAAATCTCCGGTAAGAAAGTGTGGAACAAAGCAGTCAGTCAGTCTGCCAATAAGAGGAGCAGGTATGATGGAGACCAGAAGAGAGTTATCTTCCAATAGGTGCTTGAGTGGAAACAGTAAAGGCGTAGTCTGAACTTCCCAGAGTGTTCCTGGTTGTGGGCCTGAGGTGGGCCATGTGCTCTTGGATAGAAAGGCTCTGGGTGGTTCCCTCTGCAGATGGCCTGTATTTCCTCCGCACTGCGAATGGTGTCATCTACCAGACCTTCTGTGACATGACTTCTGCGGGTGGTGGCTGGACCCTGGTGGCCAGTGTGCACGAGAACCACATGAAAGGGAAGTGCACGGTGGGTGATCGCTGGTCCAGTCAGCAGGGCAACAGAGCAGACTACCCAGAGGGGGACAACAACTGGGCCAATTACAACACCTTTGGGTCTGCAGAGGCAGCCACGAGCGATGACTATAAGGTAGGCACCACTCACCACCTACTTGTGAAATGGTGAGGAGTTGACATGGCTGGAAGATGGGGATATGTAGCTGGGGCTGGAGAAAAAGAGTGGAGTATTTGCAGGTCTTGAATCCCAACTTCTTCAGGTGGGTGGTTGTAGGGCAATGTCATCTGCTAGAAGGAGGTGTCTGAGCCTTGCCGACCATCTGGTCACCTGGATCCCAGCACTGTCAGTGCAATTGGGTGTTGAGTCTGTTGTGTCATGTGACCGTCTGGCTGTTCAGGATTGGTGTCTTTTGCTTTCTAGAACCCTGGCTACTATGACATCCAGGCGAAGAACCTGGGCATCTGGCACGTGCCCAACCTAGCCCCATTGAAAAGTTGGCGGAGACGATCTCTGTTGAGGTACCGCACCAACAATGGATTCCTCCAGAATCTGGGTTACGATAATCTGTTTGGCCTTTACCAGGTATGTGGGCTGCTGGGTAGGAGTCAGTTTGTTTGGTAGTCAGAAAGTACGAGGGGGTACACCCCCAAAACCAGAATTGCGCTGGGCAGAGTGGAGGTTTCTTAGCATGCATTTTCCCACTAGGCGATCATTGAGCAACTCGCTCTGAGTTAGTGCACCCGGTGGCATCACCTGGGAAGGTTCTCTGTGGTCACAGTGAATTTTTTCCTAAAAGCAGTTTCCTTCAAACCCCCCTTTTTTTTTTTCTGTGATGGCCGATTTAAGAGAACAGCATGCAGCTGTAAAATGTTATTTCCTGCTAAGGAAAAATGCCACAGAAACTGTTGTGATGTTGAACACAGCTTACAAGGACAGCACTATGGGAAAAAACTCAAGTGTATGACTGGGTTTCTCATTTCAAAAAGGTGAAACGTTGATTGATGACAAATCTCATTCTGGATGTCCATCAACTTTCCATATGGACAACAATGTGATCTTATAGTGCATTTAGAGTTTGTTCCACCAGGTCAGACTGTTAAGCAAGCTTTCTCTTTAGAGGTTATAAAAAGAATGTGTAACAGAGTGCAGCAAAAAAGGCCTGATTTGTGGCAGACAGGGGACTGGTTTTGCCACCACAACAATGCATCTGCTCACATAGCATTCTTAGTGTGCCAGTTATTGGCAAAAAACCCACATGCCTCTCTTGCCCAACACACCTTTCACCTGACCTCACTCTGTACGACTTCTTTTTGTTTCCTCGATTGAAGAGGGACATGAAAGGACAACAATTTGGAGATGTAGAAGAGGTGAAAAAAAAGAGGGAGGTGCTGTCAGCCATTCAAAGAGATGAGTTTGAAAAATGTTTCCAAGAATGGGATTGTAGATTTGACAAATGTATTAAGCATAATGGAGAGTACTTTGAAGGTGATAAGGTTGTTCTGTAAAAATATTTAAATACATAGATTAAAAAAAATTCTGGTTTTTTTTTTTTGGTGGGTGGGGGTACCTCCTCTTAAAGGGTTTGTGGTGGGGAGTGAGCCTCTTTCCCATAGTCCCAAGTCACTGCGAGGTACCTGGACTACCTTTCTCTGTCTGCTTCTCTGTGATCTCATGTTCCTCTCTAGGAACTCAGAGTCAGCTCTGTGGGAGTCAAGGGTGGGGGGGAGAGGGAGAAGAACAAAGGCGTGTCTGCTAGTGGAAAACATAGTCACAGGAAGAAGGGCCACTCTTCTTAACACCAGCTTCTGAAGAAACCCAAGCCACCCTCACCTTCACATCTGATCATAGCAGCATCTCTGTTGTTCTCACACAAACTCTAACTTTGGTTTCTGCAGAACTACCCAGTCAAATATGGAATAGGGAAGTGTTGGACTAACAACGGCCCAGCGATACCTGTGCTCTATGACTTTGGCGATGCTAAGAAAACGGCATCTTACTACTCACCACTTGGTCAAAGTGAGTGCTTGCTCTCTAAGCTCAGGCATCAGTTCTTGGTGCCCTTGGGGAAAGGACAGTCATTGGCAAGAATATTAAGTGTCAACATTTGCTGAGCATTTAACATGTGGCTGACTTTTTTTTTGATCTTGACATGGTTTTGTGCCATTTATTTATGATGAGATCCCTCTGACCTTAGAATAGCTATTGTGCCCACTTTATATAGTGGGAGACGGACACCGAGAGTGAGTGGACTTGCTGAGAACCACATGGTGCGTAAGCAGCAGAGCCAGGCTATGTAGGCAGCCACTGACCCGAGAGCCTGTTCTCTGAACTCTTCTGTATGGCTTACTAGAGGAGTTAAGAAAAAGTGTGGGCTAATGTTCACAGGAAAGGAGAACTAGCAAAGTGGCCTTATTATAAAATAAATAAAATCTTCATTTTATTATGCTCCAAAAAATTCCCCCCAAACCCTAAATTCACTGCCATTGAGTCAATGCTAACTCATAGACACACTATAGGCCAGGGAAGAGATGGCCCTGTGAGTTTCTGAAGCTAACTGTTAATGGGAATAGAAAACCCCATCTTTCTCCCGAGGAGCTGCTGGTGGCTTCTAATTGCAGGCTCAAGGTCAAGTATAATTAGTGTTGGTAAAAAAAGAGTTTAGTTTAATGAAGTCATACAAGTTGAGTCTTTGATGGGAAAATCAAAGCCATTACTTTTGGCATTTGGTATGTCAATGAAAGCAGGTGGCTGTGGAGAAAACAAACAGATGGAATTGGTTGAGAAATGTGTAAACCTATGGCCGCCCTCGGGAGTTGTGTGTTCCTGTTGTATCTGTTGAGGTCTTTCTGTAAATGATCTTCCTGTAAAGTTTTATATCCCTTTTAGCCTTAGGCAGACAAACAACGGTGTTCTCAATCTTCCCTGGGCTCTGGGCAGAGGCTCCCTCCTCGCCTGCCCACCAACCTCTGCCACTGATGAGCCAGGCTCTACCCCACAGATGGAAATGCAAGCCTGAAGCCTGAGCTTTTGGTGTGGGGAGTCCCAGAGCTGGTCAAAGAAAAGCGGTCCCCAGTTTGTCCTTTGAACACTTCAGTCTTCTCTTTGCCTTTTGCCTTGCAGGAGAATTTGTCACAGGATTTGTCCAGTTCAGAGTGTTTAACAACGAGAGAGCAGCCAATGCCCTGTGTGCTGGGATGAGAGTCACTGGCTGCAACACCGAGCATGTGAGTCTTTAGGGAGATTGTGTGTGTGTGTTCAGCGATGTGCCTTTTACTCCCTTGATGGTGTCTCCTGCATATACTTTCTTTCAATGAAGTCCCATGTATTGATACTTGGCTTGTGAGAACTACTTTTGTGTTTTAAGAAGTATTTCACTATTTTGAGGTCTTATTAGTTTCTATTTTAAAATTTTTTTTATTATATTTTAAAATCATTTTATTAGGGACTCATACAACTCTTATCACAATCCATACATACATCAATTGTGTAAAGCGCATTTGTACATTCATTGCCCTCATCATTCTCAAAACATTTCCTCTCCATTTAAGCCCCTGGCATTAGGTCCTCATTTTTCCCCTCCCTCCCCGCTCCCCCCTCCTTCATGAGCCCTTGATAATTTATAAATTGTTATTTTGTCATATCTTGCCCTGTCCGACGTCTCCCTTCACCCACTTTTCGGTTGTCCGTCGTCCCCCAGGGAGGAGGCCACATATAGTTCCTTGTAATCGGTTCCCTCTTTCCTACTCACTCTCCCTCTACCCTCCCAGTATCACCACTCACACCACCGGTCCTATAGAGCTCATCCGCCCTGGATTCCCTGTATTTCCAGTTCCTATCTGTACCAGTGTACATCCTCTGGTCCAGCCAGACTTGCAAGGCAGACTTCGTGTCATGGTAGTGGGAGCGGGGAGGAAACATTTAGGAACTAGAGGAAAGTTGTATTTTTCATCATTGCTACATCGCACCCTGACGCATATTAGTTTCTAGAAGTTATGTGTATGCATATATTTCAGTCTGGTAGAGGAGAGGCTCTCTGTGAAGGATATCTGTGACGGGGACAGCAGGGAGTCACGGCCATCTAAATGAGTGAGGTCTTTTACTCAGTACCCTCTTCCTGCTCCCAACTAAGAAACCGAGAAAAGGGCCTTGGCTCCTGGAAGGTGACACTCAAGCCACAGTCCCAGCTTCACTGCCCCCTCTGCAATCAGTTAGCCCCAACGCCCAGCCAGGATGAGGCAGCTCCGCTTTCATAGAAAGAGCCTTAAACTCATTTAGAGCATGATGGGAATACGGGCAAAGGGGCAGGTGGGTCTGTACTCTCTTCCTTGACACTGCCTTCCATGGCCCCTTACCCTGTTCATCAGTGTATGTTTGCATCTATGCCGGCACAAATTGTTTTTTTCCTTAAAAATATGAGTACCTACTATGTGCTTGGTGTTAGACATAGCCTTTCCCTCAAGGAGCTCTGTAGTTTTAAATTAAAATGGCGCAGGGGGGTGGTAGGGGGTGAGGGGCCAGCCCCCACCCGCTGCTTCTAATACTACCACAATTGCATGGTTGAGATATATAAGTATTATATTAAAGTCATCGAGAGCATGAGAGATATTACAATATAGTCAGACATATAACATGGTAGCATTGCTCACCTCTGCCCCGCTTGGTGGTCCTCGTGGGGGGAAACGGCTGTCAGAGCAGGAGCCGCCTCCCTTGGGGGAGCAGCCCTCTCGTCCACCCCCTCATGGGAGCACCCTCTAGTCCACCACCCTCCCGAGAACCAGGGAGCCTCCTTATTTATTGCTAACCATGCATCATATTACTTTAGGGGGATACATTACAGCATCATGCGTCACCGAGAGGGGCAGTACAATTCATCCTTGAACAGGTTTGATCACTCTGGTGTCTCATACAATAAAACAGACAATTATTATCCTGGGAGGCATGCATGCCCCCTGATAGCAGATAACAACCTACATCATAGAGAGGGGTTGTAACATAGGCAATACAAGCAATAGGAGGGGGATGACCTAGTCATCTTAGAGTGGTCCTGGGCTTGCCTATGGGCACTGCTTCAAGGGAACAATAACAGAAAGGAATGGGCCCTATTTGTTGTGGGATAAACAGTGGTGTCTGCTTGATGTAGACAGCTGATACCTCTCAGTGAGAATGACTCCCAATCAACTCTAGATGGCTGATGTTAAGGAGAATAACCTCTGACCTACTGGAGTACAGTCATTCTCAAGCAGCTAAGTCTGGTACAATTTATTGGGGAGACAGCTTAAGAGAAATCCTTCTGTTCCCCACAGAGCTCAGCTAGAGAGGAGCAGAAACGTAAATGCATAGTTGCCATCTCATGGTGTGAACTATCAGAGAAATACCCTGGGGACACAACCAAAGGTCTCCTAACTCTACTAGAGTTGATTCTCCAGGGACGGTGACATTGTGCTGAATGTCAGACTCAGTCTGGAGTTCAAAAAATAGTAAAGGTTGTTGTTGTTGCTAGGTGCTGTGGAGTTGATTGGGACGTAGTGTGACCTCATGTGAGAGAGCAGAACCGCCCCAGAGGGTTTGTCAGGCCTTTCTTCTGCAGAGCTCCAGGGAGGGTTTGAACTGCCACCCATTGGGTTAGCAGCCAAACATGGAACCAGTGCACCAGCAGAGCTCCCTAGAAAGGGATAGAATTGTGATTTTAGCACAACCGATGGACCAGGTTCAATACCATAGGTGCTTGGGAGAATATGGTGTGTCGAGGAAGCGGTCAGCTGTTTTGTGCATTTGGGGCATTGGGTGTATGCTGAGTAGAGGAAGGAACTACCTGGAAATATCTGCAGGGGCTGTGCCAAGAAGATATTTGCAACATGTCAAGAAATTGGTGTTTATACTGTAGGTGATAAGAATCAGTACAGGATTTTGAATAAAGCAGTGGCAGTGACCGGATCAGCTTTTGGTTCACAAACATCCCTCTGAGAGCCGTGTGGAGGACCTGCGTTCAAGAGCAGGGAAGTTAGGTGCCAGCAGTTCACCTATGAGGCAGGTGCAAAGGTCTGGATGTGAAGTGCTCAGGGCCTTCAGTAGGGCTTTCTTGAGAGGGAAGGATGAGCATGGGAGGGTCCCAGGGACACAGGTGATATGGAATCAGCAGTTCTTGATGACCTGGTGATGTCGGGAGTCAGGAAGTGAAAAAGACTAAGCTCCATCATCCATGTTTTTGCTCTGGGTGACTGAGCACTACTAATTATTCAAGACAGGACAACAGACTGTGGGACAGGTGAAAGGCCAACAGGTGATCATTTTCTTTTGCTCAGGTGGAGCATAAGATATCTAGGGGGAGACATCTAGGGGGAGACATCCAGGCAAAGGCTGGTTGGAGATGGAGGTCTTAAACATGAGACAATCTGCGCCACCAGTATACAGTTAATAGTTACAGTCATGGGAGACGATGAGTGCCAACGTGGTGTGTCTGTGAAGTGTGGACTGAGTTTGAGGATTAATATTCTGGGATTAAGCAGAGGAGCAGAGGCCGGAAAGGCACCTTAAGCATCAATGTAAGTAAGGGGAAAGAACATTAGGAGAGAGGACGGTAGACTTTACTAGAGGGCGGATTTCAATACTTTGCAGTGATAACGCTGTGCGGAAGCACGGGGTCCAGGCAAGTAGGAGGAGAACCAAAGATGCCAGGAAGCTGACCACTAGGAACATGGTGGTGTCGCAACACTGTCCCTCTTCTTGTTTTCTAGCACTGCATCGGAGGAGGAGGCTACTTCCCAGAGTCCAATCCCAACCAGTGTGGTGATTTCTCTGCCTTTGATGCGGATGGATATGGAACTCAGAAACGCTTCAGCAATAGCCGGGAGATAACCGAGGCTGCCGTGCTCCTGTTCTACCTATGAGAGGCGTGTGCTGTGAGACCTCAACTGGCGCTCAGTCCTGGAGACAGAAGAACTGGAGTGCTAATAAGGAGGAGAGGGTAATAAATGGCATCAGTGAATGACTCTGGGTGTCTTTGAATCCCTTTTACAAACTGCCTGGGATTCCGAGGGCTGTTTTACAAGAATACCTGTTGTACTTGAGAGTTTTTGGGGTTTGGAATTTGAAGTCTTAGGTTTCCCAGAACATAGTATGCCCCTCCTACTAGGACACTCGGTATTAGATTTAAGGGCAGGGGAAAATAATTTCTTGTTAATTTTATCTAACTCACCCTGATAGTCTAATAAAATGAAGCTCTCAAGATAAATATATTTTTTCCCCAAAAGCTTATTGGCACATAGTTTATATATCATACAATTCGTTAGTTTAATCATTCAATCATATCAAGGAGAATTGTACAATCATTACCACATCAATTTTAGAGCATTCCACCCCCCCCATGATTACATCATCTTCAAGATGAGTTATGCAATCACAATCCGTTCTGATGCTCCCTTCCTCCTCCCACAGCCATTATTTACTCCTGAAATCCCCTTTCACCCTCTATTATCCACCCATGTGTTCCCTATATCCCCTTGTATCAGTTATTATCATTATGTATCCACTACTACTGTGCCTCATAGCTGGGAGACCCAACAGAAAACAATGAAAAACAAAACTGGACTAAGGTGGTAAGGATAAAAACATAATGGTAAAAAGACAAAAATATAAATAATGTGTAAGAAGTAAAACACCTCCATCAACATTCAAAAAGCCATGGAAGAAATTTCTGTCATGGAACCTGTAAGAGATACACCCAGAACAAATCTATGCTCGTCTATAATGTGATCAACTGGCCAAGTGTCGTGTTTGATTCAGCCTAATCAAGCTTGCAAAGGTCTCTGCCTGATAGGCTGATCACAACTCTTGCCTGTGGCTAGAGCGGATTTGCCAGTGGCTCAGTCTGACTAGATCCTCTGCAGATGGGTTTAGGCTCTCACCGTCCCCTGTAAACTTCCCCAAATCGGGTGTTCCTCATTTTAGCTCTAATGCTTTTCTCCTCACCATATTCACCATATTCTCTTTTATTCACCATATTCACCATATTCTCCTTTATTCACCATTGTGGGGAACAGAAGGAATTCTCTTAAGTTGTCTCCCCAAAATATGTACCAAACTTAGCTGCTTAAGAGTGACTCTCGGCAAAAGTAGGTCAGAGGTTATTCTCCTTGACATTGGCCATCTGTAGTGGCTAGACCATTAGTCTGACTCACCCTGAATAAGACCCACTCCCTTCTGATAAGGATAATGGTGGTCTATTCACTTGCAGAGATGCCAGAGAGGGCAAACCCGCCCAAGGGTGACCAAGGTTAGTTAGCCATTATCAGCTGTTTAGATCAAGCAGATACCACTGTCTATTCCACAACCAATGTGGGCACACCCCTAGGTGATTCCTCTCCTATTGATTGTATAGCCTATGCTAATATCCCTCCTGATGACTCAGGCTATTGTCCACTATCAGGGAACTTGCATGCTTCCCAGAATAGTAATGGTCTGTTTTGTTATGTGAGACATTAGAGCGATCAAACTTGTTCTAGAATGAATTGTATTGCCCCTTTCTGTGATGTATGA